CAAAAACAACCGAGATAAAAGCATAATAACATGAGGCACAAGAGAAACTTTGCGTTATGACTTTAATTTTAAAGTGGAAATTGACGAGTCGTTTAGTTCGAAGGATGCACTTTAAGTTATGAACCCCATTACGGTAAGTATAAATATTATTCATTGTTCCGTAACTGGCTGCATCTGTTTTTTGAAAGAGGTTTGGATCAAAGGTTAATGTGCTGTGCAAAATGCCAGATTCTTATTGGCTGCTCTAGGTGCCGATTAATTCCCTACACGAGGCAACGATTTGATCTGCCAACTTGGGCACAAAATTTTCATCACTCTCAAATTGTTATACCGTAATGGGGTTCATAAGATTGCCTTAACTTGAAAAGCATCCTTCGAACTAAACGACTCGTCAATTTCCACTTTAAAATTTCAGCTCAATCGCCACTCAGAAGCCTCAAAAACAACCAAGACAAAAGCATGATAACATGAGACACAAGAGAAACTTTGCGTTATGACTTTATTCATCAAAAGAGGTTCGTCTTCGCGACCTTAATCGTGTCATGTACTCATGGCAGTGGTGTTATTTCAAGTGAGTTTTTTACGCAATCTGATTTAGGCCCGTTTCAAACGTCGTGCTACTGCCTTGCCGAACTCTAATTTTCTGGCTGTCCCAGGGAACACATTGAAGTTGACGTATTATTAGAAATAGTGAAGAGGCACTAAATGCATTTTTGGACTGGAGCACAAAGATTGACGGAATACTAACTAAACCGGAAAGCTTTTCGTGCCGACATGAAAACTTATCCGGTATAGTATCAGCAGTATGGACACCTATCCGATATGTGACACTTAAGAGATCGGCACAACTCGCGCCGAAATTACCGTGTGTGAACAGAAGCTCTAGCTATCCGGCATGGTTTCGTGCAGGCTCAAAAGCTATTCGGTATGGTGTGATTAAAGCCTTAATTGTCGCATCAGGAATCTTCGTCAGCATCTTGGGAAGTCAGACACTTGACGTTAAATTTGCAATTATTTTTCTCCGCTATGGCTACTCAGTTTTGTAATCAGGAGTTGGAAAAGCTAGCACAAGTTGCAAACCATCACGGAGCTTTTATTTTGACGTTCTGCGTGTTAAACCTGATTTTCGCTTTGGTGACGTCTCTCGGAAATATCCTCGTAATTTGTGCCCTTTGGAACGCCTTATCGATTCCAGCTAATGTAAAGAAGTTGTTGCTCAGTCTCGCTTTTTCGGATCTTTTGGTGGGAGTAATTTCGCAGCTAATGCTCGGAGTCATTGCCGGAGTCATACGAATCAAAGTGAACAGAAACAAAAACTATGACTTCCTCTGTCCGATAGTTCAAACAATTTGTTATTTCGCCATTTTCTTTTTGGCTGGTACTTCATTTTTTACTATAGTCGCTATCGCTGTGGACAGACTTCTTGCTATCTCTCTTCATCTCCGATACCGGGAGCTTGTTACCTCAAACCGCGTTATTATTGCTCTGGTTTCTGTATGGCTAACTAGTGGCATAACTTCGTCGGTATACGTTTCTCTTCATAACAATAATGAGCTGGTAGTTGCGATAGTTGAAATTGTCGGACTTCTTTTGACAACTGTCGTTTATACTCATATTTATAGAGTTGTTAAAAAACATCAGAATCAGATACACTGTCAGCTCCGGCTTTCAAATACTCAGGCAACCGAGTTGCTCCGGGAAAGAAAGTCAGTTTTTAACGCTCTCATTGTGTATGTTGTTTTTCTTGCATGTTATTTTCCCTACTTGTGCTTAATGATATTGATAACAGCTAGTGGACCAACAACGACGATTATAATGGCTGAGATGGCTGCACTTTTGTTGGTTTTTCTGAATTCTATGTTAAACCCCTTCATTTATTGTTGGCGATATCAAGAAATTAAGGAAAGTGTGAAAAACGTGTTGGAAAAATTACTTATCTTGAATTTCCAGGCTTCGACATAAGTTAGCAAGAGTCCGCACCAATAAAAAATGGTATGGTGAACAGTCCAAGCTCTTAATGTAGTATATTCGTCCATAAGTTAGCTAATCTATCTAGAATTTTATTGATTAGTATTCTGTTTTGTTTTTCTCTTTTTTGAGTTTTTCTTGTTTGTTTGAGGGCAATTTTTAAATTATTCATACGGGCCATCTGATATTCGTGCAGTTCCTACCACCAAGGAAGAGAGAGAGTGACATTTAATATATATATATATATATATATCAACAAGAGAAAGACAAATTATAGTTGTGCCGTCATTTAAATTAAGCAAAATGTTTAAATTACATGAGGCATCTGCGATTCTTGCTTCCTACCACCACTGAAGAGATAGATTAATATTTAACGATATATGTTGACAAGAGCAAGTGTTAATTGTTACAAGACGAATTAACATTTGATAATCCAATGTGATGCCATTTTCTTAAATAGCTTGCAAATAGTGTAAAGGGACAAGGCATAAACGTATTATATACATCATATTAAAAACAGAGAATCTGGAAC